CCTTCAATCTTCGACCTTTCAATTCCCTCTCCCTCCCAACAACCGTTTCATCAATCACAGAATCCGAACTTCTAAATTCCATAGAATCTTCTCACTGGCATTTCATCAAACAGGCTGCGCCACACTACACTCCCTCTCTCATCTCCTCAACTCTAACCTCCCTCCGCCACAAACCCCAACTCGTCCTTCAGCTTTTATCCCATCTCAACGGCCATTCGCTCGACTTAACCACCTCTTCTCTTGCTGCTTGCATCCTCTGTCGCCTCCCATCTCCCAAACCCTCTATCAGCCTCTTACAGAGCCTCATTCTATCTTTCGCTGCCACCAACAAAACAATTTTCCATGAGTTGGAACTTTCCCTCGATCGCTTGGATGCCAAGACTAGTCTCATCTTTGACCTTCTGGTCAGGGCCTATTGTGAACTCAAGAAGCCCAATGAGGCCTTGGAGTGTTTCTACTAGATGAAGGAAAAGGGTGTTGAGCCTAACATTGAGACTTGTAATCAGATGTTGAGTCTGTTTTTGAGACTGAACAGGACTCAGATGGCTTGGGTTTTGTATGCTGAGATGTTTAGGATGAAGATAAAATGTAGTATGTACACTTTCAACATCATGGTTAATGTGCTATGCAAAGAAGGAAAGTTGAAGAAGGCAAAGGAGTTTATTGCGTACATGGAGGCTCTTGGGGTGAAGCCTAATGTTGTCACATATAACACTGTTATACATGGACACTGTTTGAGAGGGAAGTTCCAAATGGCCCGTGTGATCTTTCAAACAATGAAAGATAAAGGTCTTGAGCCTGATTGCTATACGTATAATTCTTTCATATCTGGGTTGTGTAAAGAAGGAAGACTTGAGGAGGCATCTGATTTACTTTGTAAAATGTTACAATTTGGTTTGGTTCCAAATGCAGTAACATATAATGCGTTGATTGATGGGTATTGCAACAAAGGGGATCTAGATAAGGCATTTGCATGTAGGGATGAGATGATAAGCAAAGGTGTAACGACAACTTTGGTTACATACAATTTGTTTATCCATGCACTGTTTATGGAAGGAAGGATGGGAGAAGCTGATAATATGATAAAAGAAATGAGAGAAAAAGGCATGAAGCCTGATGCTGTTACATATAACATATTGATTAATGGGTATTGCAGATGCGGGGATGCAAAGAGAGCCTTCAGTCTTCTTGATGAAATGGTGGGAAAAGGGATTCGGCCAACTTTGGTCACGTATACATCACTTATATATGTTCTGGGAAAAAGGAATAGAATGAAAGAAGCAGATGCCTTGTTTAATAAGGTTCAACAAGAAGGTCTGTTGGTAGATACTGTAATGTTTAACGCGTTGATCGATGGTCACTGTGCAAATGGTAATATTGATAGTGCATTTCAACTCTTGAAACAGATGGATAACATGAAGGTTCATCCTGATGAAATCACTTATAACACCTTGATGCAAGGATACTGCAGAGAGGGGAAAGTGGAAGAAGCTAGGAAGCTTCTTGATGAGATGAAGAGAAGGGGGATCAAACCTGACCACATTAGTTACAACACACTCATTAGTGGTTACAGCAAAAGAGGTGATATGAAGGATGCTTTTAGAGTTCGGGATGAAATGATGACTACAGGATTTGATCCTACAATTCTCACTTACAATGCTCTTATACAAGGATTGTGCAAAAATCGGGAAGGTGAGCATGCTGAAGAGCTCCTCAAAGAAATGGTAAGTAAAGGCATTACTCCTGACGACAGCACCTACCTATCTATAATTGAAGCGATGGAGAAAGTTGATGACCTTGAGGAAAATGTTGATAAATGAATTGAAGAGGAAAATAGTATTTCATGAGTTTGTGTGAACTTCTAGCACTGGAGTTTGGACACAAGTATATCAACATTCCTTGTTCTACAAGCTGAATCAAATATGTTTGAGTAACAAGTTAAAGAAGTTCTTGAAAAACTGTAGTTTTCCTTAGTCCACTTCTTTTGTATCAAGAGTATTACTTTTTACTTCATTAGTTATATTAGTTTTGTACCATATGGTTTACAAAATGTTTATTGATGATTTTGTTTGAAAAATGAAAATAATAGCTAATGATTGAGTTTGTCGGTCTTTGGTACAAAGTTATTGATAGGTACCCAAATTTTATTAACATGGTAAAGAATTCCAAGACAGGTTCTTGGATGATCTTCCTATGAAAACCAGACAGCTTGGTCTGTATCTAGTGACGGGTACACACAAATTCCAATTCTTTCGAGAGACCTATCTCTCCCTTCCTTTTACTTACAATTTTCTCCAAAAACTCCACTGAAAACTACCCCTATACAGATATATAATAGTCTGTTTACAACAACCCACCTCATAGAAAGTTATAACAATTACCCTTATTCCTTCTAACATATACTTTTCCCCCAAACCTATCAATACCCGTCCATGAAGATTCACCTTATCCTCAAGGTGAAAGCCTATGAAATAAGCAACATATAGAGCTGTTTATTTTTGAAAGTATGATTAGGCCCAAACTTCTCATCACACCTGAAGCATAAAGCCTTTTTTATCTTATCATGCAATTCTTCTAGGGACAATTTTCTAAACGGTGCCCCTCTTTGTTGAGTCCCAACAGGAGAACTATTGATGGAGCTCACAAAACCACTTCTCTCTCCATTTCCTCTGTTGGAGTTGGTAAAACTATTGATGAAGCTGCACAGTACCTTGGTGGTGACTCTAACCTTTTCTTGCACCATTTAAGCCTTCATCATTAACTCAGCAAGATTATTAGGCTCATACAACATAATCTCAGTCTTTATTTCTTCCTTCAAACATTTAAGAATATGCCAATCAAATAATCTTGTTGTATTACTTTCAAGAATCCAACATATTGTTCAAATTGTTCAATATATTCTCCCACCTGCCCAGTTTAGCGTAGCCCAATTAATACTTCAAATGGATTTTGAAGCATTGTTGGTTGAAACCGGTGAACCAACGCCCCCTTGAAAGCTTCCCACGTGGTTGTCGGATTGCAGGTTTCCCACCGTTAAAACCAATTCAGGGCTTTCCCCTCCAAGGCAACCATAACGGCCTGCATCCTCTCCTCCTCATTGACTCCTTTTAAATGAAAATACCTCTCCAACCTGTTAGTCCAGCCATAAGCCTCGTCTCCTGCAAAAGTAGGAATATCTAACTTCCTCCATTTTGAAGAAGCCACGACAGAACCTCCTCCCTCATTATCCCTGTTGCCGTCACTACCTACCTTGGCAACAAAAGCGTTATCTTTTGTATGTTTATGAGAGGACATTAATCTTTCTACCACCATCGTCAACCCTTAATCATCTCCTCCAATCATTGGAACCTTCTATGGTTCTCATTGTCCTGTTCTTGCACTATTTTTTCCAGTCCATCCAATCTTCCTTCCATTCTTGTATTCACCATGCCCCCAACAGCCACCACAGCTCCAGGAAAGAGGCTCTGAATACCAATTGATAGATACCTAGATTTTATCAACACTGTAAAGAACTCCAAGAAAGGTTCTTGGATGATCTTCCTATGAAAACCAGACAACTTGGTCTGTATCTAGTGACTGGTACACATAAATCCCAGGTCTTTCGAGAGGACCTGTCTCTCCCTTCCTTTCACTAACAATTTTCTCCAAAAAAAACTACTAAAAACAACCCCTGTATAGACTATATATAATAGTTTGTTTACAGCAACCCACCTCACAAATAGTTACAAGAGTCTGTTATCCTTATTCCTTCTAACATATATTTTGCCCCTGAACCTATCAGCTATGCAGGAAGATTCTTGTGACAGGCAAAATAGTTATTGCTTTAAAAAAAAACAGAAATTGCTTTAAATAATTTCGAGTCTTTTACTTTTTGGTTTTTTGTTTTCTGCTCAATAATCTCATTCTGTGCACTGTTTTGAAGTTAATTTGTTTTCTTCTCATAATTCTTTTACAATGTTTTTATGAACGACACCAGTCGTAGTTATATGTATATGGCTATGGGAGAGTTTTCTGCTACAACTAATAAATTTTAACCTTCAAAACTATATCCTCAGTCCGTTGGTCCCTGTGCGCTTGGCTGACACATGATGATATATT